TTGGTTTTGTTCAAGGTGACCTCAGTGAGGACAGTGGAGTTCTGTCATCTGGCTATCCACTTTCACACGCAGCTGAAACAGCATCATAGCCCCTTTAAAAATATTGGTCTATCCCTTTAAAGCATCCAGGTCTTCTTGCTTCCTCTTCAAGGGAAGGCAGAACAAGGTTTGAAATTCAAGCTAGACTATAAAGGCAGTGAAAGGATGATTCTGACCCCTCTCTTTATCTTTTTAGCTGTGAAGGACCAGTGTTTTCTTTCAAGTCTACTAAAGTAGTTCCTAAGAAAGAAAATAAGCATTCCTATCAACCTCGCAAATGCCAACACTCAATCACGGTTGCTTCAGGAAAGGAGAGCTCGAAGCACTCACTTTAGCCTCAACAAGACATGGTCTTTTCATTTCATGAATGTCCTGTTAAGAGCATTATTTACCCATGGATATGGTTTCCCAATGTAGATCAGATCACGTAGCGAACAGGTGTCTAGGGGATTAGAAGGCTTTCGGGCATTATTTAGCGCATGCGTCCTTAGCATCGTATGCTTGCCCTTTTGTATTGCTCCCTTCTCATCTGCAACCATAAAGTATATTCAAAAGCAACCAAACCAACCCCGAACAACCCAGTTCCCATCAGGTCAATTCCGACTCATCACAATCCAAGTGCGGCAGGATGGAACGGCCCTTCCGCTCACACTTTGAAAAAGGACCGTTTGAGGAAACTCTTACAGAGCAAATCGATTTCCAATCAACACTTCACAGGGGTTTTGCTTTGCGGCATTGGTTGTGGCCTTCATCATGTAGTAAGTAGCGCTCTGCCCAGTTCCCTTTTGTTTCCCCTTTCCATTTGTCCCTCTGTCCTTCCATTCCCTTCCTGCCCCTGAGAGTCCTTCCTAGGCAGATGTGTCTCTGTTGCCCCAGAGAGTTGATTGTTCTAAGAAGTGTATACTTTTCTGGTGTTGTTACTGTTTACCTTGTTGGCCTGTCTATTGTTTGGCTGGAAGTTGAACCACGGCAGGTGTGGGGGGCATCGTCTTGGAGGTCTCTATCAGATAAGTAAGCCTAGTCTTCTTTATGATTTTAAGTTTTGTTCCACGTTTCTCTCCCACGCCATCCAGGGACATTTAATGTGACCCCTTTCAGAGTGGATGATGGGGTAGCTGGGCACCATCAAGTTCTTTTGGTCTCATGGTCACGGATCAAATGTGTCTTTGGTTAACTTTACCCTTTTTTTAGATCCAGATGCAGAGAAACTAATAGTTGCATCTTGGATGGCTTCTCCCCAGCTTTTAAGACCCCAACCACTACTTTCCAAAGCAGGATATAGAACATTGTCATTGTGGCCTACCCCTTAGGGGTTTCAAAGCTGTGATCCTTCAGAAGCAGATCACCAGGAGTTACTCCCAAAGTTCCTCTGGGAAGTTTCAAACTGCCAACCTGTCAGTTAGTGGTGGAACACTTAACAACTATTTTGTGCTACCCAGGTCAATAATTCATAATGTATAGACCTTCCATAACAAAGCAGTTTTATTTTCTAATATATACCTTTCTGTTCCATTGGTTTTTTTTTTAAATCAAGTAAGAGAAAGTAGTAGATACTCCTTTAATGGCACACACACATGATCTTGGACATATCCACAAAACTCTTGCCTGAATGTACATAAATGTATAAACAGTCCAAAGATATGCATAAATAATACCATGTATTCCTTAGGGGGGTATACATGTCTATCAAAAAGATAGAGACATACTATACAGACCACAAAATATCTGACACACACCTCTCCCAAATTCTGCTAAAAAATCAAAGCGTATAGCTAGGAGTATGCCCATTTCAATTGGATAACAAGTCTTAAAAATGCATAATGTTTTAAAATAGTTTTGAAAAAAAATATATATATATATCATCAATATTAACACTATCCTGGAGTTAGAAAAAATTGCAAGTAGAATGAGAAAACTGAGGTATCCAGGGTGACATTAGACCTGTTCATCTATGGTTGTTGGGTTGTTGTTTTTGTTAATTCACTGTGAAGTGTGGTCTAACAGGCCTCCAGAAAAATAACAGTTTTACATAATAAACTAGCACATTGAGATACCGAAAGAGTCCAATCAGAATGAGGACCAACCCTACTGGTCAGACATGTGTTTGGAGTTGCAATTCGGTGCTGTCGGAGAAGCAGTCAACAGCTCAACGGCAAGGTTGGCAGTTCAAACCCTCCAGCTAGGAGAAAGATAGGGCCTCTGCTCCCATAAAGAGTTAGGGTTTTGGAAACCTTATCACATGATCACAATGAGTCAGACCAGCCTCAAGGACAAGGGGCTCTTTCCAGGAAGAGGGAAGGAGATCGAAGTCAAGGAAGGGGCAGTCGGGCCCACTGTGCCTTGTGAAGCCTCTTGCACTCTTCAAACAGAACAAGAGCTGCTCAGTGAGAACTGACGAAGACCCCCACTCACTGCTCCTGAGCCGGGAGGAAGATCCTGGGCTGAGATTTAAGGAAAGCTTCCCAGGGATGCCAGGGATGATTACACAGCTTGCACAGCATGGTGTGCTCCAAGCACCTGCCAGGAAATATCTACTCCATGCTCAAGGGTAATCTTCTAGAAATAGAAGACGTATCCTCAAAGGAAAAATCAGAGGGCAGCTACTATCTACTGCTGTGCTTTCAGGAGGGGGACATGCAGTGCAGGGAACTGAAACCTCTTGACTTCGGTCTGCCTGTCCCTGGGCAGACGTGGGCAGCCTGCGGGGGGGCGGGGTCCCTGCTTTCACAGACTTCCCAAAGGTGGGACAGGGAGGAAGTGGAGACAGTCACCTCCTGTGGGCGCCATCAACTAGAAAACTGCAATAGGGGAACGGACACACCAGGATTTCCATGTTCCAATCATTATCTCCTCAGCCCAAGGTGTTCAAAATGGTTTGGCCAGTTCAAACTGGGACAAAGCTGGAAGGCTGCCTCAAGAGTCCCGGTACAAGGTAAGGTCTTCTGCAACTTAGAAAGATCTGTATTGTCAGCAGGACCCTTCCCTTTTGTTTCTAGTCACCCTGAAATTAGTTTTGGCTTACAATTTGAGAACTGGCAGAATGCTAGGAGTGTTAAAATGGCTAGCAGAATAAGCAGAATCCAAGATGCTAAATCAGAACCCAGTTGGCATAAGCGGAATAAGCACAATCCGAGATGCTAAATCAGAGCCCCGTTCAGAGGTCAGCTGCAGGGAGAGAGGTATCTGGGACCCCACAGGCTGCCTACAGGCTGCCCTGGGTACTTGTCACCGTAGTAAATGATTTTAAATACATTTCTTTTTGTTGTTTGTTCTATAGCAAGTCCATCAAGTGACACCCTGATCCACACTTTAGCTGATAAGAGTCTGTCTACTGCCCTCAGTCAGTCTCCACCCTCCAGGGGGCGCTGTGCAGACCAGGAAGCGACGCACGGTGTCTTCAGGCTGACTCTGGACCCGCAGCAGAGTCAGCTTCTGTGATGACTTTATTGGCTGGTGCTGCGGGGGTGGCTGCTGCTTCTAAAGAGATCTCCTGAGCAGCTTCAACCCGAGGGCGCAATAAGCTCTTCTTCACATTCTAGTGTCCTGGTCAGCGGTGTCATCCTGCCAACAGAGAAAGACAGAACAGGTCAGGAAGAGGTTGGGGAAATCTTGGCACTTGGCGTATCTGCTTGGAGACTGCTAGGTCAGACGACAGCTATGACAGTAGAAATGGTTGTAGCAGAGAGCTCTCGGGTGCAGCACTGGGCTGCCAGTGGGCTAGCCCAGCCCACTCCTGGTGGTGTAGTGATGTTGGGCTGCAATCCATGTGGTCAGTGGTTCAAAACCACCAGCAAGCAGTTCCTCGGGAAGAAGACTGGACTTTCTACTCCCATAAACAGTTAATCTTGAAACCCCACAGGAGGCTGCTATGAGTCAGCATTGACTCTATGGCAGTGAAGCTTGTTTGTTTGTGTGGGGGTGTTTTTTTGTTTCTGGGGGTTTTTTGGTAATGGATCTGAGGAGAAAGACCTGGTGAGCTACTCCCGTAAAGATTACAAACAAGAAACCCTATGAGGCCGTTTGTTCTACTCTTGTCCCTTGAGGTTACTGTTCATGGGGATGGGCTTGCTCAGCAGCACAGAACAGTCGTCACCATGATAGTGAGCGCACATCCACTCAGGAGCAGCCTGAGTTACCTACTTCTAAGCACTTTGTTTCATAGATGAGGTAATTTAGACACAGAGAGGTACGTGACTTCCCTTAAGTCACATAGCTGTTAAGTGGTAGGGTCAGGATTTAAACAGGAATGTGCTAAAGAGGAGCAAGAAGTATAGAAGAATAAACGAATTGGGACTATCTAATTTAGCTTCTCATTTTAAATGCACCCCCCCCCACTCAACCCACACAAATGTACTGTAAAAAATGTACACACACATCTCTCACACACGAATGTACTGTAAACATGCCCAGAAAAGGGCAGTAGGGGTGGAGGCGAGAGCACAGCAGATGCAAGAGCTATCTTATCAAGGAGAAGCAGGATTTCCTCTGATCCAAGGGGCATGGAGACATTGGAGGACTGGGAGGCTTTCCTTGCCATCAAGTGGGAGGTGAGGTTTTTTAAGGAGTCTGGGGTGAGAAGTGAGAATACCAGAGATGCAGTGAGTGGATTTCCAGGTAGCAATGATGGATAGAGAGCACCCAAATGGGTTGGTCATCATTTATAATAGATCCAGACACCTTGGGTTTGTGAATTTCACTAATGATACTCCCAGATCTTGGCAAAGACAGTGGGCGTGGGAGAGTGACTTACTTTGGGGCATTACAGTGGAGAGATAGAAGGTCCAAAGCAAGAGGGATATTAAAACGCAGAAAGAAATTGATTGGTCAGTGTAAGACAATGGGGAAAAATAACTTAGACATTATCAAGGCTCATGAGGGAGGGAGGGAAGGTGGTGGAGGGGGGGAAATGAGCTGATACCAAGGGCTCAAGTCGAAAGAAAATGTTTTGAAAATGATGATGGCAACATATGTACAAAGGTGCTTGACACAATGGATGGATGGATGGATTGTAATAAGAGCTGTATGAGGCCCCCAATAAAATGATTTTTTTAAATGCAGAAAGAACATTTCCATAAAGTCTGGACGGGGCAGAAGACCGAGGCCTCCAGGAGCATGATGGGAGAACAGTTCACAGGCTACAGGAGGGCTGAGGGGGGGTGCAGGAGAGTGTGGCTCTAAGGATTGAGAAGGCAGAAGGACGGAGAACTCGCTCTTGGAGACCTGCCTCGTTAACAGGGAGGGTAAACATAAACACAAGCTAGTTACAAAGGCAACTTGAGTCTGAGTCTCAAGACAAGGCTGGAGATGATCAGCTGAGGGAGAAAACCATTTCAAATCAAATGTTGTGAAGCCAAGGAGAATGACTTGGAAGAGCCATTGAGTTAAGCAACTAGGAAACCAGCACATACCGTTACAGACAACGACGTTTCTGAGATGAAGCCCATACATCTCCAATGGCTTTCGATAAGTTTGTCTTTGGCAAATCTGAGTGCCTGACATGGGACTGACTACCTGAGTGCTAGAAACACCTGTGAAATTTACCGAAAGAAATTTATTCAAAGTTGGGTCTTGTTCAGCACTCTCGTTGAAGGGTCTAGTTTATAAGGAAAGCCCTAAGTGCTGTGATGGGATGTGTCCACCTATCCCATGATGGACCTTCCCCAGGTGGCTCGTTGTCTTAAGCCTGAATTATTAAACATTTGTGACGGGCAATATCATAGGTTGTTGTTATTGCTAGTGCCATTGAGTGGGTTCTAACTCATAGTGATTCTTTGTACAACAGAAGGAAATACTGCCCAGTCCTATGCCAGCCTCAATATTGTTCTTATGCGTGAGCCTCTTGCCGAAGAATAGGTGTGAAAGCTTGCTAGCACATTCACAATCCGACCCCTTTGGTCTGTCCATGAAGCTTGCTACCGCTTTCTCTTGAAAAATTAGTTTCTTCATTGCTTGTGCTTCATATAGGGTGTTCCCAGGCAGATTCACATTCATTCTTCTGCCTCATGTATATTGACTTACACCCCTGTGATGTTCATCTTTGAACCTCCGGTTTATCTCAGTGCCTGGGCTAATGAGGGCTTGGTGTATGCTGATTGGATGGATGAAACCAGAATGGGTTTATCTGATCATATCATTTCTACCAATCAAGAAACGAGATGCGGATTAATTAGGGGACTAAGAAGCTGTTCTCTTAGGGAAGTGTACAGTTGGTCTCAGAAACACACAGGGGCAGTTCTACCCTGTCCGATAGAATCATTCTAAGACAAGGAGTGGGATCTAAAAAAATCCCACACAATCCCTTGGTTTTTGTACAGAAAGTAGACTATAGAAGGAAGCAAGATGCCATAACAGACTCATAGTAAGACAGTACAGAAGTTGACGGTGACCCGAAGGGACAAGCACTTGCGGTGACTGCGGCGACGAGTGGTGAGGGGAGAGGAAGACCCGGGTTTTCTTATGGAGCATCTGAGCCTCTGGGGCGGCCTCTGCTCCCCAGGCATGGATGGATGGGACCTGGTGGTGAGGAGATGCATTAAAGGGGAAGGTTCAACAAGCAGGGGCCTGGCCGGGAGGGCAGGGCCTCAGTTTTCATCTTCTTCCTCCTGTACTGCAGGTGCTCAAAACCCGTGAGAAAGCAGATGCAACAGAAAAGACTCCACTCAAGCACGACCTTCACAAGGAAGCTTCCCCTCCTTCAGTCTCCCACTCTCTTGACCTTGTGCTTTGGCTTCCTCAGGACTACCGCCCGCCCGGTTGCCCACGATGGACCCCTGTGGCCAAGTGTCAGACTGCTAACTCAACGGAACAAAGCCAGGGTGGACTGATCTGCTCCAGTCACGATTCTGACCCAGGAAACTCTCTGGGGTAGGTCTGCTCTGCCCTACAGGGTGCCTAAGAGTCTGCTGGAGGGCAGTGGTGCTCAGTGGTACAATTCACACCCTCCATGAGGGAGAGCAGGTTTGATCGCTGGCCAACACACCCCAAACGCAGCCATGACACATTTGTCAATGGAAATGTATGTGTCGCTAGGATGCTGAGCAGGGGTTAGGGGAGAAGAGAGGCGGACTAAGACAAACGGGCCTGGCAATGATCTGAAAAGCAGCCGGTCAATCACTATGTGTCGCAGTGGTCTGATCACCTTGTGTGCGGGGGGCCGTGGCAGCAGTTAACAACCACACAAAGTCGGGCTGCGGGACTCCTGCTAGATTTCGAGCTTTGCTGCGAAGGAGCAACCCTTTCTTCCTGGACCAGTCTCCAGCTGGAGGCTGCACTTAGTAGGCCTTCAGTCATGCTTGCTGCGCTTAGTAGGCCTTCAGTCGTGCTAAGTCGCTGCGCACTGCCAAGTGTTGCTTACCCAGACACGCCCAGGAGCTTGTCGGACTCTGCGCCCGGAAGACCCTGTCAGACACCTGCCCTCTCTGTCCTTTTGCTCCCTCACGGGTCAGAATTAGCCTGCCTCAACCTGGCATGGCACAAGGCAGGAGGCTGGCGCCACAGTGACCGCACACGGAGCTGGTGGGCGATGGGACTGTGAGGAGCGGGTCACGTGGCCCTGCCCTCCCGTGTGAACAAGCTGGGTCCCCTTACCTCTGCTATGGGGTCTGCACCCCCACTCAGGGCTTTGCTGCTTGTTTCCACCTGGGCCGGGTCCGCCTCAGGGTGGCATCTTGTCTCAAGAACTCCACTCCCATCCTTGGGCTTGTCCTTGTCTTTCTCCTGCTCGGAGGGGTTGGCACCCTCCATTTCTCCAGAGGGACTTGGGGAGGCCTCTCCTTCCACAGCTCTCGCCTCCAACTTGTTGGCCTCTTGGCTTTTTTGCCCCGGTGTATCCTCCTCATTCCCTGCTTTCTCCTCCTTCACCACCAGAGCCTTTTCCGTCTCTGCTGCCTCTCCGGCTGTGGTTTCCTCCGGGGGAGTCTCACACCCATTCTCTGCCTTTGGGCTGGAGGTTAGGGGGGGTGCTGTGGCCTCCCCCTGGGCTGGGCTCTGCTGCCCCTGCTCTGCCGCCCTGCCCTTCTCCTTCAGTGTCTCCGTTCTGCTGGAAGTCCTTCTCAGAGGGGGCTTCTCCAACCCCAGGCTTCGCCTCGCTTCCTTTCCCACGGCCCCATCGCTGGACGGAGGGCTTCCTGGGGCCCTGCCCTTGGATGTGAACACTTCATCCCCATGCTCTTCCTTGGCTCCATTCTCCTGAGATGACTCTGAGGCCCGGAAGTCCCCAAGGTCCCCACAGTCGGACTGAGACCTTCGGAACCGCCTGGAGGGAGGGCGCCTTTTGATGGAGCCCCGTGTCCTCACCTGGAAGAAAGTGGAGGGGAAAATTATCTCAAGTGTGTGAAAAACAGCCAAGGAGATCGACAGCCACACCCTTTCCATGCTGGCCGAAAGGCGTTGAGAGAGCCCACCCAGGGAGGCCTGAATGTTCTAATCAAATGTACCATCATTGGCTACTTAGCCCCATGAAACCGAAATTACATGTCAACTTGTGGGGTTTTGTCTCAGGAAGACGACAGGGCTTTCTGTCCAGAAGCAAACAAACAAACAAAGTCACTATGCTTTTATTCTGTTAAACACTAACAGAAATTAACAGAATTCATTAGGTGAATTTCACTATCACTCGATCCGCTCAATCACCTATATAACAGTTCTTTGAGTGCTCTTTCAAGCAGCTTATCAACTTCCAGGTTTCCTCACAAATTGATGAGCTGAATAAAATCTGTATTTGGTAGGCGAGTCATGGTTTTATAGCTCTTTGAAAATGACAATGGGACAACAGTGACAGAGGAAGGTGATTTGAGTTCCGGGAAAACTAGGAAGGGAGCAAATACTTGTCACCTCTGTTCAAAAACCCGCCCCAGCCCAGCTCTAACCCGTCCCTCCTTTCTCCAGCAGGGCGCAGGTCAGGACACTTGGGGACTGCCCAGTCCCTCCACCGCCAGGAACACCCCACCAAGCTTCAGACCCACATGTCACCTTGTTGTAGCAGGGCAGATGACTGCCTTCAGGAGGCTGGTCGAAGCTGACGGGCACCTCCTCTGGCTCGCTGGCCCGAGACCGCCCGCCGGGGCTGCTGGGAGTGGAAGGCGGGCTGTGAAAAGGGGACACGGCCGCCTTGAGGCCGGGACTCTTGGGTGAGGCCCCAGGCAGCAGGGCTGTGGGGTCGAAGACTAAATTGGCCTGTGGAGAAAAGAGTAGAAATCTCAAGTAGGGGTGGAGAGGAGAGGGGGCCTCTGCTTAGCTTGCTACCTACCTGGCCTCAGAACTGGCTGAAACCAGGTAACATCAAACGTTTCCTGTCACTTCCTAGCCAGCTGTTCATGCTTTTGCCAGGCCCTCCTCCCAGAAGCACTGCCTACTCAGTCCATCTCCTGCCCGCTGGTTTGTAGGGAGCTGCCTTCCAGAACGCCCAGGCCTAGCTGACGTGGAGCCACCAAATGCCCTCCCAGGCCAGCCCCCTGAGTTATGGACCAAGCGGTCAAAACAGCAACCAGCAGGTACCTACCGGTACCAGGATCCCACGGCCTGCCACCTTCCTCAAACAGCCAACGATAAAGGCTGCTTGCAGGATGCCCACAGGCAGTAGGCCAGCCCTGTCTGCCTTCCTCTCACAGCAAGCTCATATGTTCGGCATCGTGCTCACTGCGTGAGTGAGGAAAAGGCTGAGGAACCCGCCCCGGGGACTGAAGCCAGAGTTCTTGTCCCTCAAGTTCAACGTGCCAGGTTCCCTCTTGGCTGCTGGTCAAAGTGGTGGACGCAATATACTGCTAAGCTCTTTTAGGCCCGGGGCCAGGGTGGGGGCGGGGCGCACTGGAATAACTACCCGAGGAGCCTCAAGCCTGAAGCCTCAAGGTCAGAGGTTTGAAACCACCACCATACAAGAGTGTTCAAGTGTCTCTAGCGCCACCTAGGGGTAGCGTTCCTCCTCTGGCCTTCTGCATCGTCAAGTCCTGGTCGATGAATCTCCCTGATGGCACTGACTTGAGGGGGACTCCCTGAAAACGCACCGCCATCAAATCGATTCTGACTCATGGCGGCCATGCAGGGCAGGGTAGAACTGCCCCGTGTGAGTCCCGGAGGCAGTGTAGAGGGTTACTGTGCTGGGCTGCCAACCTCAACGTGGGTGGTTTGAGCCCTCCAAGAGAAAGATGGGCCAGCCAGCCGGCTTCTGAAAAAAACAGCCATTGACAACACGGCTGTACTCTGACACACCTTGGTCACCCCGAGCGAGAGTTAGCTTGATGCTATCAGGTTGGCTGGTGGTACCCCCTGGATCTTTCAGACCCTGTGGTGGTGGCAGCGCTGCAGAAAGGCAGGGGACCCTCAGAGAGGAAGCGCAGGGCTTGAGGGGATGGGGCAATGAAAGGTAGATTCTTCACGCTGACAGACCTGACTCCAGCTCCTTTGCTCAAGAGCTGTGTGACCTTCCCTGACTCCAGCAGCCTTGTCCAAAGGCCTTAACCCAACCTCCAGATCGGTTTACAAGGCTGACCGTCTCCTGCCACTGGCCTGACTCACACCACCTCCTTCCAGACTCCCCTGGGCACCACCTTCCTACCAGCCAGAGGATTCTGGGTCTGGAAAATTCCTATCCAATCTTGAGGGCAGATAATACAGCATTGCACAAGCTTAGGGAGATATTAGTAACATCGTTCTTTTAAGAAAAGTACTTGTGACTGACAAGACTAAGCCAGAGTCAAAAATTCACAGCGTGGAACTTAAATGGCAACGCTGTCAGCCCATGTCAGGGCGAAAGGCAGCAGGTGGCTGGGTTCAAACTGACAGCAGCAACTGGCCAGGTTCGTTGAGCTGCTCAGGGCCAGGGAGTTTCTGCGGATTGGGCAGGAACCCTTCGGAAAGGGAAGTGAGAGTGGTTTTGAACTCGAGGACTATAATCAGTGGCATAGATGATCGCACCTGAAGAACTTGTCGAGCTGCTGTGCGTTCTGTTGTGTACATTTATCACCAACACCAACATAAAGTAAATTAGCTGCTTTTTTTTTTTTAGCAGAATGTGGTGAGCCTGGGGTCGGGGGTGGGGTCATACATGCTGGGATGATGGCTCAGGGGCTTCCTGGCGGAGGGGGGTTTTCACACCACATTTCAAGCTGGGAAATCCCCTCATAAGAAAGCTGGCCAATAAAATGGTTCTGAAAATTGGAGCTTTATATACTAGAGGACTCTAATGAAGAAGGCAGGGGTTGGGGGAGAGCATAGGTCAGGACTCATCTTGTAAAACATGGAGGAGGAAAATCTGAGACCTAGCTGATGCATGTCTTCGTGTTTTTGCCTTAGATGTACCCTCCCTCGCCCCAAATAAGTTTCAGAGGGGATTCGGCCAAATCGTCATACGTTGCTGACATTCTTAAGGAGCTTTTGTTTTGAGCTAAAAATGATTGAAGATCAAAACCTCATTGCCAAAACCTCATTGAGTTGATTCCAACGCATGGCAGCCCTATATAGAGCTCCCAAGGTGGTCAATCTTTCACAGAGCAGACAACCTTCTCTTTCTGCCACGGGACAGCTGGTGGGTTTGAACTGCTGCCCTTGTGTACAGCAGCACCGCACCTAACCAACAGTGCCCTCAGGACCCTGCATCCCTTCAAGAGGTTCACTCGTGACTGGAGAGGGGTCTGAGCTTGAGGAAAGGGCATGAGAAATGTGGATGGCATCTGGGTAAGGGTTGTGGTGGGCTACAGGGAGGCAGAGGTAGGGACTAGGTAGCATTCTGGAATTCCAGGACCCCTTTCGAAATGTCAATAGTGTTGACGGTGAAAGCCTTGGCCTAGAGCAGTCATAAACAGCGTAGATCACTACTCTTCACCCTCTTTTGTCCTATCGGGGTGACTCTCTGTCACCCGCAGGAGATTGGGAGCTCAGGCTCAGCCAGCCACACTTCACTTAGACCCCCCAGAAATCCAGCCCAGCCGTGTGCACAGTCGGCAGGGGCTTGCGCACACAAGGTGACTGGACGGAGGTCGGACAGAATGCTTTCCCAACAATGGATTTGGACAAACCAGTGCAGTGTGCAGCGGCTGGGTTTCAGCCCTGTGCACGGGATGGTCTGGGCTGCATTCAGGCTGTTGGGGGAGAGGGTTTGGAAATGCTTGGGTGATTTCCCACAACTATCATGTCCCTTTTCCAGAAGATTCTTGAGGAATCTTGTTATTGATCAGCCACCAACCATCATTAGGAGCTAACTGCATGAGACCCTGTTTGATCTGAGCCTTTGCTTGGTCCTTAGCCAACAGGTAGTGGGCTATGAGATCCTATCTTTTGGGAGAGTTGGATCATTAGGTGGTTATCAGAAGCCAACTATCCAGGTGTCACAGATGGGGCTACTCCTTGATAGCCACTCAAAGGTCGGAGAAGAGGTAGCAGCAGGTAACGAAAATTCTACACTTTGGATGCCTGGTGGGGCTTGATCAAGGGCAATGTAACCAAGAGGAATTACTGAAACCTGAATGAAGGCCTAAAATGATAGTAGGACAAGAGGAAAGTAAAAGGAAATAGAGGAAAGAACTAGGAGGCAAAGGACATTTGTAGAGGTCTAAATACAGGCAAGTGCATGTATATAAATATATTTATATATAATGATAGGGAAATAGATCTATGTACATCATTTATAGGCTAACTATCAAGCTGGCAGACAGACATTGGGCCTCTATTCAAGTACTCCCTCAATGCAAAAACACTTTGTTCTAATAACCTGGCATCCCGTGATGCTCACCTTCCCAACATGATTGCTGAAGACAAAGCGGGTGCATAAGCAAACGTGGTGAAGAAAGCTGATGGTTCCTGGCTATCAAAAGATCTAGCATCTGGGGTCTTAAAGACTTGAAGACAAACAAGCAGCCATCTAGCTCAGAAGCAACAAAGTCCACATGGAAGAAGCACACCGGCCTGTGTGATCACGAGGTGTTGATGGGATCAGGTATCAGGCATCAGGGACCCAGAACAAAATGTCATATAAATATGAATGAGGGGGCGTGTGGAGTGGAGACCCAAAGCCCATCTGTAGACAATTGGACACCGCCTTGTAGAAGGGTCACAAGAAGAGACAAGCCAGTCAGGGTGTAGTGTAGCACCGATGAAACATACAACTTTCTTCAAGTTATTTAATGCTTCCTCTCCCACCCCACTATCATGATTCCAATCCTACTTTACAAATCTGGCTAGACCAGAGCATGTACATGGGTACAGATAAGTGCTGGAAACACAGGGAATCCAGGACAGATAAACCCCCCAGGACCAATAATGAGAGTAGCGATACCAGGAGGGGAAGGGGAAGGTGGGGGGATAAAGGGGGAACTAATCAAATTCATCTATATATAACCCCCTCCCTGGGGGATGGACAACAGAAAAGTGGGTGGAAGGAGACAGCGGTCCATGTAAGACATGGAAAAATAATAATAATTTATAAATTTTCAAAGATTCGTGAGGAGGGAGGGAGGGAAGGAGGAAATGAGGAGCAGACACCAAGGGCTCAGAATAGAAAGAAACTGTTTTGAAAATGATGATGGCAACAAATGTACAAATGTGCTTCGCAACGTATGTATGTATGTATTGTGATAAGAGTTGTATGAGCCCCCAATAAAATGATTTTTTTTATAAAGAAAAGAAAACCCCACACTTACCTGAAGCTTCTCTATCAGAGGTGAGCTCTTCACTTTGATCTTAGGAGGGTGGCCAGCATTGGGCGCTGATTTCTACAGGGCAAAGAGACCAAAACAAGCCAATGAACGAGGACTACAGAGACAGGGTTCTTCTGGGGCTCGGAGGCCACGGGGGAAGTAGAAGAGGAGAGGCATTTGGTTTCACCACTCCATCACTTGGTTCTGATGGTCCACTTGCCTCATCAGGGCATGGGCTGCCCTGTTCTCCCTACCTCACCTCACCACCAGCATGGCCACATGAATATGTAAGTCAGAAAAGCCTGGCTGAATGGTGTTAGGGGAACATGCTAATCCCTGGCAGAATGGGTTCATGTCCTCATGAGCGAACAGCGTGTGTGCGAGGGCAGAATGAGCAGCAGCGTGAGCAGCAATGAACGGGGATTTCCGAGATAAAGGCCATGCATCCTGTTTGCCACAAGCACAACCGGCCAGGAGTGGAACTTAAACCCCCTCAAACCAGGATGTTTTGGAAAATCCCATCAATGGTGTTGCTTGTGAATATTCCAAAGCACGGTTCATTTTAATGAAGCATATACTGATTGGGGAACTATTACATTCTAGGCCTTGTGCTAATTACATAGAGATGGATAGGATTTCATTTTCTAGGTCATACGGTAACAATCAATGGCTAGCAAATACAGACACATATATGTATACATACAAATATGTGCACACATAATTATATATTAGTCATTTGTATGCTATATTGCCCAGAGTCTTGGTAGCCTAGTAGTGTTAGGCGTTGGGCTGCAAGTGCAAGGGGGGCAGTTCAAAGCCACCAGCTGCTCTGAGGGAGAAAGATGAAGCTTTATACTCCTGTCAAGAGCAATAGTCTCAAACTCTATTCTCCCTGCCCTACAGGGTCACTATGAGTCGGAGTGTACTGTTTGGATTAATGTGTATTTTATTACTTGTAGATGTTTCTGTGCTGAATGTGTCTCAGAAAGCCTGTCTTTGGGTTTGATACTACCTACAAATATTAACTCCTTCTTACCCTGTATAAAGTCTCCATATAACTTGAGTCTTGTTCTATGGGCGTACTGCCCCTCAGCATGTAAAAATGATGACAGTGGTGATCATAATGAAAGTGAAGACGAAGATGAGATCCATGATGACTCTTGCTGTTGGATACAGGCCAAGACAGAGGCAGCATTGCTCTATAGTTAAGGGACTGTGTCCCCTCATCCAATGCCCCCATGCACTAATTTGTCAGAATCATCAGAAGAGGCATGCTAATTGGCTAGAAATCGTCTGCGATACTTCTTGAATGAGATGACTCCATTTTAGTACTGGGAGGAGGGAGACTTACTCTAATGAATTCCTTGTGATCTTTTTAGGGTCCACACCGAATGAGACCATGCTGGCGTGGACAGTCCCTGACTGGCAATCTGGAGACCCCATCCCCATTCTATCTTTGACAGATGGATGTCCTGGCTTTGGCCCCCTACCCAAACCCGAGGAGGGCTAGAGTAAAGGATTTCCAAGAACTCTGCCACATCTAAGGCCCCCTGTCTTATTCCTAGAGTGGTCTTCAAGGAGCCCTTGCCCACAGAACCCGCCCTAGTGGGGCAAGTGGTTCAGCTGCAACCCTAAAGGTCAGTGGTTGGAACCCACCAGCCACTCCAAAGGAGAATGGTGTAGCAGCCAACTCCCAGAAAAAATTACAACCTTGGAAAGCCAGTAGGGAAGTTTTCCTCCCTTCTATAGGGGCTCCCAGGAAAGCCAGTGGGGAATTCTCCTCCCTTCTATAGGGGCTCCCAGGAAAGCCAGTGGGGAATTCTCCTCCC